CTGTTCAATACGTGCAACACGAGTACATTGTGAGCCAACCCTACCGGCCCTGGACTCTGGACTCCAGCGACAGTCCTTCAGAGGGTCTCATGATTGACGGCGGAGACGAAGAACTACTCATTTTAGATAACTCTAGACTCGTCTTCGATGAGGACTATAGTGAACCCGACTTATGTCGATGTGATAACTGTGCCAAACGGCACCTACACTCCACTCATCATAATAATGAGATCGCAATGATAAGTAACGGCAATATTATGGACCACATCCATGAGTGGACACCACATAAGCCGTCGGAAACTTCGTTGGAGTCCTCCTCTAGTGTTCCCTACAAACAGCTTAACGGACAGACGGGTCACGAGGCAGACCACCACAACCACCACAACCACCACAACCACAACCGCCTCCACAATCATCACCACAATGGACACACCAGTGACCACAATGAGCACCAGTTACCATCGCCTGACCATAACTGGCCCACACATTGTCACTCCACCCAAAGTGATGCCAGACATACCCGAGCCCTGTCTAAAGCGAACCGGCAGTTGATTATCGGTTGTCTATTATGTCTGGTGTTTATGATCACAGAATTTGTGGGAGGATTCTACTCCAACAGCTTAGCCATTATGACCGGTTTGTATGTCTACTTATGACGATTTGTTGTTCATTTGCAAAATTGTCATTAAAAATGCAAACCATAAACACTATAAATAATCTCAAATTCTATACACAATTTTCAAGTCTAAGAAATTATAATAAAAATGTAGGTTTCAGTCATTAATATGTTTGTCATAATCTATACCATAAATTCTAAATACTAAGTGCCTAATGTGTTACTGTAGTTATAAATTAATATCATATCAAATAGTAATTTATTGCTTTATTTTATTTAATTTTAAAAATGCTGACAAACAGTGAGATACAGTTTACCATTGAAAATGTGTGCTATTTTTACAAATCACTATTTATTAAAAGTGAATTCTTAAAATTGACATATTTTATATTAAATTTATATTTATATTAACTTATAGCACTTAAAATTATGGAAATTATTAGGGATTATGAAAACATTTTAAATTATCAATTGGCGGTGAACTACAAACTTAAACTCAATTCATTCTCATAAAACTTGAACTTAAAATAATTGACATTTAATTACAAAAACTTTTATCAATTTAATAATGTGATAAAAATGACAATTAATTCAATACCTGTACTCATATTAATAAATGTTACAAAGAATAATGATTAGACATTTAGTCGACTAAAACAAAAAGTTGAAAACAAAATTCTGTTTATTAAAAAAAAATATTGCTATAAATATTAAATTAAATGATAACATATTTGTTATGAATACATAATCACAGAATTTGTTTTCGCATAAAACATAAACATAATATTATCTTAAAAATAATGTTTGTCCTTAACTNCACTTAAAATTATGGAAATTATTAGGGATTATGAAAACATTTTAAATTATCAATTGGCGGTGAACTACAAACTTAAACTCAATTCATTCTCATAAAACTTGAACTTAAAATAATTGACATTTAATTACAAAAACTTTTATCAATTTAATAATGTGATAAAAATGACAATTAATTCAATACCTGTACTCATATTAATAAATGTTACAAAGAATAATGATTAGACATTTAGTCGACTAAAACAAAAAGTTGAAAACAAAATTCTGTTTATTAAAAAAAAATATTGCTATAAATATTAAATTAAATGATAACATATTTGTTATGAATACATAATCACAGAATTTGTTTTCGCATAAAACATAAACATAATATTATCTTAAAAATAATGTTTGTCCTTAACTACCGGTGCAGACGCGGCTCATCTGCTATCAGATTTGGCGAGTTTTATGTTGAGTTTGATGGCCATATGGATAAGCCGTCGGAAACCCACAAAACGCATGTCCTTTGGCTACCACAGGGCGGAGGTGTTGGGCGCCGTCACCAGTATTTTGATGATTTGGATTCTGACGGCAGTTCTCGTCTACTTAGCCGTCGAACGCATTCGAGACGCCGACTATGAGATCGACTCCAACGCTATGCTTATAGTGTCGGGCGTTGGAGTCGTCATGAATGTGGTGATGGGTCTGACCCTATCGGACAGCCTGTGCTGCAAACGGGTTACCGATGACAGCCACGGGTCGGACGATCACCCGCACAGTCATAATAGTCACAGTCATTCCCACGCAAGTCATGGCCACTCACACACTAATATGAATGTCAGGTATAATTGCCTTAAAAAAGTGCCTAAATTCTGAAATTCTGAGTTAGAGTCACAGAATTCATACGAAGACATGAATACTAATGATAGGAATGATTGTGTTTTTCAGAGCGGCTCTAATCCATGTGATCGGAGATCTGATCCAAAGTATTGGTGTATTAATAGCGGCGCTAATCATCCACTTTAGACCGGATTACAAGATATCTGATCCCATTTGTACATTCATTTTCAGCGCATTAGTAATGTTCACCACATATGGTATTATGAAGGAAGCCGTGTATGTACTGATGGAAGGCTTTCCCACTTATCTGGACTACTCGGCCGTCAAGAAGGACCTGATGGACATCGAAGGCGTACAGACTGTCCACAGCCTTCACATCTGGTCGTTGACTCTGAACCGAAACGCACTGTCCGTTCATTTGGCCACAAATGTCACATCAGATGCCGAGCGCGTGCTTAAGGCGGCGGAGGCTCTGATCCGCAAGAAGTATGACATCCAGGAGACCACTATTCAGGTCGAGAGATACGACGCCCGGGCTATGGATGAGTGTCTCGTATGTGTCGGTCCTTAACATGCGTTTCAATAGTCGGTTGTCTTTTAATTTAATAAAAGTTTTAATTTGTGATTCATTTTCCAAAGTTATGATCATTTTATTGTGAAATTCAGTTGTCTTAATAATGAACTGAATTTTATATGTTCCATAAATGCTTTTAAATATTATACTGTATTACTACTAGTAATTTACAGTACAGTATAACATTGTGTTTTTAATAAAATTTCAACTATTTGTTTAGATCCTCTTCATGCCCTGCCATTTGTGGACCAGATCCCACAATCGATGTCTTTTCTTAATAAAAATATATAATTTCTGGTTATACCTGGTTTAGATCCTGTTAATATTGTCCCGTTTAAGTCCCAGATCCCACAATGATCTCTTATTAGTAAAAATATATCATCTCTGGTTCTACCTGGTTTAGATCTTGTTACTGCCCTCCCATTTGTGGACCTGATCCCAGAATGATGTCTTTCCCTAATAAAAATATATCATTTCTGGTAATACCTGGTTCAGATCTTGTTACTGCCCTCCCATTTGTGGACACGATCCCACAATGATGTCTTTCCTTAATAAAAATATATCATTTCTGGTTCTACCTGGTTTAGATCTTGTTACTGCCCTCCCATTTGTGGACCTGATCCCACAATGATGTCCTTTATTAGTAAAAATATATCATTTCTGATTATACCTGGTTTAGATCCTGTTAATATTGTACCGTTTAAGTCCCAGATCCCACAATGATCTCTTATTAGTAAAAATATATCATTTCTGGTTATACCTGGTTTAGATCTTGTTACTGCCCTCCCATTTGTGGACCTGATCCCACAATGATGTCTTTCCCTAATAAAAATATATCATTTCTGGTTCTACCTGGTTTAGATCTTGTTACTGCCCTCCCATTTGTGGACCTGATCCCACAATGATGTCTCTTATTAGTAAAAATATATCATTTCTGGTTATACCTGGTTTAGATCTTGTTACTGCCCTCCCATTTGTGGACCTGATCCCACAATGATGTCTTTCCCTAATAAAAATATATCATTTCTGGTAATACCTGGTTCAGATCTTGTTACTGCCCTCCCATTTTTACCTGGTTTAGATCTTGTTACTGCCCTCCCATTTGTGGACCTGATCCCAGAATGATGTCTTTCCCTAATAAAAATATATCATTTCTGGTAATACCTGGTTCAGATCTTGTTACTGCCCTCCCATTTGTGGACACGATCCCACAATGATGTCTTTCCTTAATAAAAATATATCATTTCTTATGATGTCTTTCCCTAATAAAAATATATCATTTCTGGTTCTACCTGGTTTAGATCTTGTTACTGCCCTCCCATTTGTGGACCTGATCCCACAATGATGTCCTTTATTAGTAAAAATATATCATTTCTTGTTCTACCTGGTTTAGATCCTCTTCATGCCCTCCCATTTGTGGACCAGATCCCACAATCGATGTCTTTCCTTAATAAAAATATATCATTTCTGGTTATACCTGGTTTAGATCTTGTTAATATTGTCCCGTTTAAGTCCCAGATCCCACAATGATCTCTTATTAGCAAAAATATATCATTTCTGGTAATACCTGGTTCAGATCTTGTTACTGCCCTCCTATTTGTGGACCTGATCCCACAATGATGTCTTTCCTTAATAAAAATATATCATTTCTGGTTCTACCTGGTTTAGATCCTCTTCATGCCCTCCCATTTGTGGACCAGATCCCACAATGATGTCTCTTATTAGTAAAAATATATCATTTCTGGTTATACCTGGTTTAGATCTTGTTACTGCCCTCCCATTTGTGGACCTGATCCCACAATGATGTCCTTTATTAGTAAAAATATATCATTTCTGATTATACCTGGTTTAGATCCTGTTAATATTGTACCGTTTAAGTCCCAGATCCCA